CGCTTCTCCCTACGTTTCCCGGGGTCGCGTAAGGTGCGGACAAATCGCATGGCAACTGGAAGGCTGGCAGATCCGGACGTCAGACGAACTTACAAGAATCGTCTTCTAGAGTCTCTTCCAAGTGCTCCACCATCAGATGTCAACTCATACTGGGACGAGATTGCCACCTCTGCATAGTGCTGGGAATTTCGCCTGTGGCACGGCTTGCCAGGCGCACTCGAGCACTGGATATCAGACCGAACGAAGGCACTGCTTAAATCTCGGAGAAATATCCCAGCCGGTCCCGAGCATAACCCGGTGCGAAAAATTATCAGACGTCAAGTGAAAGTGAGCGTGCGAGCCGACCGTGAGATATGATGGACACAGAAAGCCAAAGAGATGGAAGAGGTCCAGAAAGCGGGTACTGCCCGAAGCTTATTTCAGGTGATCCGTGCGATCTGTCCCCGGAAACCGCGTGTGAGCGAAACCATCATCGAATAAAGAAGAACACCTCGACTGGTGGGCTGAGTACTTCGAACAACAACTGTCGTGACCACCAGCTGGCACTCATCTAGGGTCCACAGGTGAAGTGGAACCCTAGTCGGTGAACGTTGGACCACATACGGCATCGGAGATTTACGACTGCATATGTCCTCTCAAGCGCCACCGAGCCTCTGGTCCGGATGATCTCCCACCCGCATCGTTCCGAGATAGGGGTGAAGTCCTCAGTTTACGCTTGTCTGATCTGTTTGCTTGCATTTGGGATAAGGAGTCTGTCCCAGACAACTGGAGAGAGTCGATGATAGTGCCCGTTTTCAAAAAAGGGGCTCGTAGTATAGCAACCACGGTGGGGTCAGCTTAATCCCTGTCGTAACGAAACAGATGGCGTCACCTGTGGTTCGTCGCTTTACGGTGGCTCGTGAGATACTGACCTGAGAGGAGCAATCGGGATTCTGGCCTGGTAGGGGTTGTGTTGACCTCACGCACACTTCGTCAGGTGTTAGAACGACGCCATACGTATAAGGGATCCACAATTCAAGTATTCTTCGATATCCAAAGCGCTTTTGACTCGGTTGACTGGTCTGATCTGCTTGACACACGTGCTCACCAAGGAATACCCAGGAAGTTCTTGAACATAATAAGCTGTTTGTATTCCCAGACTTCCGGACGTATGAGAGTGTACGCCGGGCTCTCCAAAATCTTCCGCAAATAAAGTGGTGTCCGTCAGAGATGCCAACTCTCCCCATTCCTATTAAAGTTTGTGATCGATGAAATCATGAGACGAACGCTGGAAGGTCTCCAAAACTCCGGTGTTCGAATAGCCTTTAACAATAACCTTGTAGATCTGAAATACGCAGACGAAATCGTTCTCGTCATCGAAGGGGTGGTGCATGTTCTTGGGTGAACTGACCAAAGTCATAACGTCCTTTGGTATGCATTTGCACCCACGAAGTGTAAGTTCATGCTCCTGGACGTGTAGTCACTGAACGTGCCACTTATAATCCAGGGGAAGCATTCGAAGTTGTGGAAGTGGTATTAGTCTCGACTGTGGTGTGACGGATGAATCTGCAAGGTTCGGGTCGCGTTTGCTAATTTGAGACACCTATGGCGTCAAAATGGTGTATCCCTGAATCTGAAGGGACGTGTGTATCAAGCTACAGTACGGGCTGTTCTGTTGTATGGCTGTAAGACTTGGCCTGTTCGAGCAGCTGAACTGAGACGTCTGCAGCTGTCTCAGGACCATAGGTCGGGGAGATT